TTAGTAAAGGTAGTTGATAGTGACTAAGATATCGATTATAGTATATGTCCAAATCATAGGAGTCTAATGGTGTTGGTGATGATTTGGATAAACTTTCTTCTGTAGGGGCGCTTGCCATTTTAAGCTCAGTTCTCACAGCTGCGAAGAATTCCATAGTCTGCCATATATGTTTGGTCTGACTGTCATTAATATAGTCCTCCACATATAGAGGCTTTACTGCCCGCCTCCATACCTTATTCTCCTTACTAACTAAAATGGATGTATCTTTTAGTAAGGTGGCAGCTGCATTAATGTTCTACAAAAGATCTTAATTGTTCATATAGTGTTTGTGTTTGTGTACATGTGTTTGTATTTGTAAATATGTGTGCTAGTACGTAGTCCTATTTTGTATCCGGAAATAATCCTTATATGGTCTTATCATAGATTTGCACCAGTTATACGGCTTGCATTTCTTCATAGACCCAACTATCAACCTTTCCCAAATGTATGCCATACTCGGGATTTGCAAGTGGTCCTTCCTAATTAGTGCCCTAGCTCATAGTACATGAAATCTAGTTATAGCGTCTTATGCTGACATACCCAATTAAGTTGACATATCCGTTGATATACAGTTTAAGTATTCAATAATTGTTGCCAGTAGGAATTAAACCTTGGATCTGCCACTTGGGAAGTGACAACTTGACCACTTCACTAAGTTGCCACGCCCTTCAGTTTATATATATAAATTTTTATATTTTAGTATAAATTAAGAAAATTTTTTTTATATTTATTTAAATATTTTATAATTATTGAAATCAATTTAAAAAAGCTTGACTTTTTTTTTTTTTAATGTTAAGGTGACCACTTTGGGGTCTGACACATTTTATTGAACTTTGAATCAAATCCAGAATAACTACATGGCTACTCCTAACTTTGTTACATTAATGAGGATACATTCTAGCTATATCTGCACCTTTTGAGCATCTAATTAAGTAGTTCCCTATTACTAAGTATTATACTAGATGCTATATCTATAACCCATTATTACTTGAGTTATTTAATTAAACCCTTTGATTAACTTAGCACCATCAGATATTTACCCCAAAGAGAAACTACCGCTAAGGCCCTTTAGAACTACTTTATCCTCATGATAAACCTACTAGAGCAGTTCATATCCCACACATGTATCACCTAGATTTTTGGTAACTTACATCTAGGCCGTAGCCAAGTACTTGCGGCTTTTTACCTTCACTACTGTTATCTACTCTGTGCCTTTGCAAAGTTCATCCAACCCCCAATATCCACATTACAGACTATCAACAGTACTTCAATGCCAACTAATGATGCCCAAACTTCTAATTCTGATAGCCCGAAAGGGATCAGTAGACATTTCCTGATATTTTGAATGAATCCTTTTTTCTTTAGCTGGTCTGGCAGCCTGGTTGATGTAGTGCTTGCCAAACACTTGGTCCTTATTCAGTTTACTGCTAATGTCCAGTTCTTCAAATGATAAACCTTTATATAGTACCATCAAAAATCTGTACTACCTCTCTACTCAGAACTTTTCAAATAAGCTTCCGTATCCTCCAATCTCTTGGATTTATTTGGCTGCTTCACTTGGGTTTCATGTAACTCATGCATTATACTATGTTCCACAACCTCCCAATATAAGTTGGTAAAACCAAAGTCACAGGTGCTTATCTGATTGATATGTCATACAGTTTTACTATAATGCATTTTCACAAATTTGAATTTTGTCATCAGTGGAATTCGAACTCTTGTTCTGCTACTTGAGGGTGCTAAAATCTAAATTAGTACTTGGATACTATACAAGAAGTGTATTTTATATAGAATAATATATATTATATAGTTAATATCAAAGTATTATATTTTACTTTATAAACAACCCAGATATTTTGTAATTAACTACAAAAATTTTTATAGAAAATACTTTAATATAGAGGTGCTATAGTTTATACTATATAGTAATTGCTAATATATTAAGCTCATTTCTATTTAATAAAAGTATTTGACTTAATATTTAATAAAAAATATAATTAATATATATAAAGTGGCATGCCACCCTAATTTTTTGAGGCAATGGCATGCTACTGGCATGCTACTGGCATGATAGTAGTCACCATGCCAGGTTTCCTACTCAATACAGATACATTTCAGTTTTTAGCTTTTTTTAATCCTATTTAATTAATCAATATAAAATATTAAAATTAAGAATGATTACCTCTATTAAAGACATTCAATTTTCAATTAATACAACTTCATAACAAATAGATTAAGCTATTTGGTTCTTTGTTTTTGATGTATTTGTGGTATTAAATATTTTTGTAACAATAATAATTGGCAGACCTTTAGTCAGGATTTTATTTTTATACTTATTTAGTATAGCTTTTTTTGATTGTTTATCAAATATAGTCTAAACTTCTTCAACAACCCTTGTTAATTGTAATATTTGATTGAGTCTTTTTAATCACCTTATTGGATGCTTCTGCATGTTGAAAACTTTGTATACCTGCAGTGAAAATTTGACTAATAGCATAACTGGCTCAGTTTGTTTTGCAAAAATACAAAGCTTATTCTAAATACTGTTAACAATTAGGATATTCGTTTATTAAAGCATTCTATTTTACTTCAAACTGGTTGTAATATAAGGAATTATACATTTTAAAAAATTTAGCATAAAAATCTTTAAATTGATTATATAATATTTTTATAAATTTTTTTTTAGATTTAGATTAATATGAAATATACATTAGAGATGATGAGTATTTTGATAATTATTTTTAATAGCAGCTATTAGAGCCAAATCAGAATTGGAAACCAATATAGTTGGTATAATATTATATAAATTTTTTAATTCTTGTAAGACTCAAGAAAATGTTTCTTTAGTTCTATCTTTTAAAATAGCTGCTACTATTATTAGTTTTCTAAAATTATTATTAACTACTGTAACTAATTTCAAAATTCTAACAAATTAATTTGTTTTTAAAGATGTATTAACAATTATAATGTTATAGTACTTTATAAGCACAAACTTGGTTTGGAGACATTCAGAGTAAAGAATTAAGTCTTCTTTCACTAATTTCAAAGCAAGGTTTTACTACTATTATTATTTTTTTTTAAATACAAATCATTAAGCATTCAACAAATATTGCTACGAACAGGTTTTATCTGCTTTTTAAAAATTTAAATAGCATTGCTTAGATCTTTTTATTAATTGTTTGTTCAGAAAAGATGCTGTGAATAAACTATATTGGTTTGATATTCACAATCTTTTAAAGTATCTAATGTTTGATTTTCTCAAGCATTTTATTAGTAAGTGATAAAATTTTAGTATATCTCTTTAATATAAGGGTTTAATATATAATTATTATTTTATTTTTAATTTTAATATATAATTATAATTACTAGCAATACTATTAATTTATACACTATTTGTTTTTTTTAAAAAAGAAAAATTGATATGCCAGCTACATCAGAAAAATTTAAAATTAGATTATTATCGATTAAAATCTAAAGATTTTAAGTGATTCTCATCACTACCGTCGATTAAAATCAATTAGGTTTTCATCGATTATAATCGATAGATATAGAAACTATCGATTATAATCAACTAAAATATATAGATTTTATCAATTATCATTATTATCAATTTGGATATGAAATGATTATCAACACCACTATTGATTATAATCGCTTGAAACCAATCAATTATAATCAATTAATTGTTTGCAACTGATTATAATCAGGCTTTAAAATTTTTTGATGTATATCTAATCACTACTAAATCTTGATCTCTTCTATTTTTTTCAAAAATAACCTTTTTTAATTCATGTTCACCTGAATAGAAACATTTATATATTCATCATCTTACTATTAATTTATTATCTAGATTTATTATATATCTACATTTTCAAAAACAAAATCTTTCTTGTTTTGCAAAATCACTAAAATAGGCTTCAGTGATTGCCTAGGTACTAAGTATATATCTTTTTTAACTCTAATAGTTTAATTTAATTGTCCTCTAATCTTATATCTTACTCTATATCATTATTTACCACTATATTATCATTCACCTCTATATCATTTTCACTTCTATATTATCATACTCCTTCTCTATTAACATTCTTCTTTATATCATCATTCACCTTTATATCATTATTTACCTCTATATCATCATTTACCTCTATATCATCATCTACTTCTATACTACTGTTCAGCTCTATATTACCATCCTCATCATTAAAATATATATATATATATATATTTTTTTATTTTTGCAATATCATGGAAGGGTGGATTTTTATTAGGTATTTTAGTAGTACATTTTTGGTTAGCGAGAGTATATATAGCCACATGTACAACCTTTGGTCACCTAATTTAAGTAGTCCGCCCAAAGGTTCTACACTATATGTCATATCTGTAACCTAACTAGGAGATTACCTATTTAAACCCTCTGACGTCCCCATCCTGCACCACCACCACAATCACA